GCAAAAGAAAGAAGGAAGAAGGGGCGAAGGAGGCAAGCAAAAAGGATGTCCCAACAACACAGGCAACAGCAAACGCGCAAAGCGTTTTTGGAACAACAAAACAGCTGAGGACCCTCCGCCCCAGCCCACCCACGGCCAGAGCCGGAGCCGGAGCCAGAGCCAGACACACTCCTCCATCACCCTTCACGGAGATCCCATGTCCTTGGGTTCGTATGTGCCTGGTGCCGGTGCCGGTGCCTGGCATCCTCTACCCTCTACCCTCACCATCTACCTACTTAAGCATAATGATATATTTAGCTTGCCAAGTGATTGTTATTTGATATTCAACAGATTTCTCCTCAGCTTTTGCTTTTGCTTTTCCTTTTCCTTTTTCCCTTTGTCCGTTTTTGCATGGGGCGCGCAGACATTATGGGGCCGCGCCTTTTGTTGAGGTTAAATCGATGCGTGCTTGTATTATTTCATAAGTTTATGCACATACAGGACACACACACATACACTCCTTAGAGCTGTGTGTGTTTAAGTGTGAATCACTCATGTTTTACTGGCCAACGCTGCGTATGCGTAACGTCAGTCAAACCCCGTCAGTTTTGTTGTCTGACAAACAGCATACTTGTACGTAAAGAGGGCAAGCCATCAGAGTTCTGTTTGACAAACAGCATATGAAAAGTGATTTGTAAATTGACAAAATAGCCCACACTTGACACACACACTTAGCCCAGTCCTGTCCTGCCCTGTCCTGTCCACCCACTAAACTGTACCTTATTGAGGGGTTGTCCCACTGTTTTACCCCATTTAACCCACTCTTTAGAGCTGTCCATCTGCATGGCCCCAGTCCACATTTTCGTTGGACAATAAATGACACGTTTTGTCGTTTACATTTTTCATATTTTCATAGCTCATTGACTGGCACGCGAAATGGTTTGCAACGAAATACAACAACATGCCATGCCTCTTGCCACTGCTGCCAGTGCTGCCAGTGCTGCCACTTCTGCTACTTTTCCCCATTGTTTGACACTCGAAGTTTATGCATTTATTTGTAGCAGGCGGCATTCGAGTCCTGAGTTCTGAGTCCTCTGAGTCCCGAGCCCTGTTCTCGTTGATTTATTGTATTGTACTCTCGCTCCGTTCCCCCCATTTGTAATATTTGTGTCTGAGTGTTCCACTTGAATGGAAATGGTGTGTGTGTGTGTGTGTGTGTGCGTGTGTGTAGAGAATTCATATGGCAGTCGAGTGGCCACTCGAGTTTATGTATGTAATTTTTATTATAATATATGTAGGACCGCCTTCAACTGCAGCCCAAGCGAATGTTTCATATCATTTCATATCACGGTCTAGTGCCATCGATCAGAAAACTAAAGATACCGCTTTAAAGTCCCAAATAGATGCCAAAAACTCTGGTCTGGTCGGGGTCCGGTCACAAACAAACAGCTAAGCGTCAGCCGTTCAAAAGAGTAAGCCCCGAATGGCACACTAAATATGCAAAAAGGTTCGGGGATTTACCTGCCACATGCGAGGCAATTAAAAGCGGAAAGCGAGCGCACGGGCCAGGATATGGGGCTGATTAAGGATTGGTCCGGGGGTTGTTTCAGGATACGGGAATGGTTCGGTTTGGTTCGGTTCGGTGGATGGTTGAGCTCTGGTTTTGGCTTTGGCCTGTGACAAATACGCGGCCATAACAATTCATTTAGATAAATCAGCAGCTGTGGCTGTAGCAAATGAAGCCATTACTTCTGGTTCGTGTGGGCCTCGAGGCACACAAAAAGGTCAATTAAAAGTGTCCTCGTTTGAGTCCTGGGACGTTGACTTGGACTTGGACTCGTCTACGATTTCAAACAACTTTGTTGCAATGGCAATCAACGCTGCCATTCAGCCATCTGATTATGGCCCAGACAAACAATGACAGTAGATTTCAAGGCTCAGTCCCCAGTGCTTCATTTTCTGTTGCTTATTAATTAAACTGATTAAATTTGAGGTTGCGTGCCCCGGCTGCCCTCGGCTGCAATGCCACTACTGCCACTTCCATTGATTGGCCGCCAATCAGGGACAGAGAGAGCATTGGGCTGAGGGTCCAACACTTTGTCTCAAATTAATACGACTTTGGGAAAGTTCTCATGTTCATGGGAGCATAAACATAATTCGAGCAATAATAATCATGAGCACTGCCCACTGGCATACCAAGGGCAAACAAACACACGCAAATCGAATCATTTCATTAGACACACACACTCTCTCCACTCTCGATTCTCGACTTTTGACTAGGTCTCTGATTGAGTGGCTGACTGATTGAGTGATTGATTAGTGGGTGGAGTTTAGGCTGTCATTTCTACGGGATTTGTGTCCTGTCAGTGAAGCTAATCTTGAGGAACTCCTCCTGGCCTGCACTTCATTATACAATTTACGAGACTTTTTGAAGGGTGGGGCGGGCAGAAAACTTCTCTTACCCACTCTTTGACGTCTACTCCTGTTTGTAACCCCGTTCTTTGTGGCAGCTCATACCTCTTTCCCCCCATTTCCCCTCTCCACGTGTTTCAGTCTGTCAGTGTCTCTCTCTCTCTCTCTCTCTTCCAACCCCGTTTTCTGTTGCAGCTGTCGAGGACTTGAGCACGTTGTCCCATCTCTCGTTTAGCCACGACACGGAGACACATACATCTCTGCTCAACCCCTGTGGGGCTGCTCACTTTGTTGCGCGTCTTTTGCAGGCACTTAATGCGCTGTTCCACCCACTGGCTGCAACCATCCCCACCCCACACTCTCTTTCGCTATGCAAAAACAATGGCGTGGGTACATGCCACATGGAGATAGAACGACAAGAGCGACACAGACACAGACACACAGACACAAGGCAAATTTCAGCACGGAAGCGGAAGTCATTGTTGTCGCACAATGGCGAACGCGTCGCAATTATAATAATTTTGATTGCATACCCTGCCGCACCAGCCCCTCTACTGAGTCTGCTTGTACTCAGTCCCCCACCCCTATACAGTCTGTCGCACTCTTTAAGCCTGTTTTTGTTGATGGTGCAGTGGCAGGGAATGAATTATGCAACCATCTGAAGGGGGTGGTGCCACTGGCACTGGCACTGGCACCACGTGTGGGCATCATTTTTTATGTGTTTGTTCGCCAGCAGCGCTTTTGAGGCTCTTTTTTTTAATTACGAGCACTAGCCGGAGTCTGAGAGGTAATAGGAAGAGGGTGGACAGGTGGGCTGAGCGACAGATAAGTTGAGGGCACTCCCAGTCAGCAGCAGCAGCAGCACACAGAAAGCATCGCCATGTCTCATGTTTGTTTGCAATACCAAACTAATTAGCTGCACAAATAAGCAATTAACTGGCGAGAAAGTGAAGAGAAATGGGAATGGGAATGGGAAAATGAGAATAAGATATGGGAAAAGCAGGGAGCACGATCAGAGTATGGGAAGAGGTTCAAGCGGTGGTCACTTAATTACACAAATTATTTGCCACAAAAACCTCAAGTTGGCATCCTCCCTCCCACTGCCCATTGCCCACTGCCCATTGCCCACTGCCCATTGCCCACTGCCCATTGCCCCACTCAAGTGCACCCAAGGACATGCAGCCGACCAGAGTAGTGTTCTTCTAGATGTAATGAGAGTACCAGTGTATGTACGGGCCTTGGCCCCTTGGTCCTTGGTCAGCAGTTTGACCATCGCAAAAGAAAAGAAAACAATTTTCTTGAAAGCTTTGATTTGACTAAGTAAACTGGAAAATCCCGAAGTGCCGCAAGAAACCGAAGAGGAGAGACCAGCAGGGAGCGACTGCCAGCAAGGATATACACGGTCAATGGAAGGATAAGAGTGGAGCAGATGATGGGAAACAACTATCATTTGCTTTTAATTTGACTCGAGGGCGTAATTAAAGAAAAATGCCAAGGAAAGCCAAAGTCCTTTGATTGTCAGCCTGGGGGTGGGGATGGGGGTGGGACTCTGGTAGCCCGGTTGCCTGCTTGCCAGCTTGCCAGCCAGGAAATGCAAATCAGGACAAGGAACAGGGAAACACAGCGACGAACAGGCAAACACAGGACAGAGATGGATGATGGGAGAACACACAGAGATACACAGATAGAGAGAGAGAGACACACACACAGAGAGTGTAATACGTTAATTGTTTTAAGAAAACAGGCTGAGACTGCATGTCTTGGGAGGACATAAATCCCGTTTAACCTGACGCTGCAAAGCCAGCACCGGGACGAGTACGAGTACGACGACGAGGACGGACTTCCTGGCACCATCCACTGGACTAACACATAAATTTTACTCCTTTATTCCAGTTGCATAACATGTCCTGCGACACTGACAAAAAAAAGAAAAAAAAAGAGAAAGAAAGAATAACCGAAGACAGACGGACAGACGTGTTATATAGAAAGGCAACTTTTGCTGCTGACTTTGCTGAAGCGGAGATGGATATGGCAGTTGGTAAAGTGCTCGAATAGGTGGTACCCAGTATTGGCCAGGAATTTAAGCTTTAAATTCGGCATGAATATATTTATTTGGGAGAACTCTGCTTGCCAGGGTTCGGCCTGATACTGATCCGGTATTCTGGAGCTATCTAACCCCTTGGTTAGAGCAACCACAGCATACCCTTCTTCAATCCACAAGTAATGTGAATGTGTGTGGCTGTAAAAAAAGTGCCAAAAAACTAACAAGTTTGACGAAGCGAAGGGTGGGCAGTGCGGAGCGGAGCGGTGGGTGTCTGGGGAGTGGAGCAGAGCAGAGCAGCATCAGCATCAGCAGCAGACGAAGTTATGCAAAGTCAGCAGAGGACATTGACATGTGTGAGCATGTGTGTGTGTGTGTGTGGTGTGTGTGTGTGATTCAATTTGCAGTTGTGACACTGCAGCAGTACGATGGGAGACGGGAGCCGGGAGACAACTGCCACCCCCAGCCTTCACCAGCTCGCTAGTATTCCGAGCATAAAGTCAAATTGCCATATTTCATCTATGACTTTTATGACTTTTTCTTTTATTTTTCCCTCAACACTTTTTGCCAGGTCTGAATTGAAATTTTTCTATGCAGCAGTCAGCCGCCAACGACAACTTTATGAACTTTCACACACATTTTCAGTTTTGCAGTTGAGTTCCATTCTCCACACACATCATCCGAATTCTAGCCAAGATTCGATTCAATATCGCCGACACACTGTGTGAAATAGTTCCTCGCCAGGCGACACTCATCGGTGTCCAGGTAGAAGCGACTGGGGCACTTCTGCATGGCCAGCATTCGCACACAGATAGTGAGCTGCAGGGCAAACGGGTTGCACGGCTCCTCGATGAATTCAATATCCGGCAGGTGGAGTGTGAAGCGACCCGCATGCAGCGTGCGAAATATCTCACACTTGTTGTACGCATCCATCATGAAGGGCACAGACTCCAGCTGCGGCTGTGGCATTATCTCTTCCAGGCTGTGGCGTATGTTGGCCAGATCCAGGCGGTATGGCGGATCTGCATCGGTATAGCCAGAGCCTATATAGTTGCACTCCTCAATGCACTTGAATCAGATCGGGGAGATCTTACATGATGAAGTACTTCTAGCCATGTGCTGCTCACCATATTGATCGTGTAGAGTTCGGCAAAGTTGAATCTCCTGCCTGAGGGCAAGTTCAGAGTGCTTTTGCATTCAGCATTTCCTTTGTCCAGGCTGGGACGTGTTAGCTGACAGCATCTGATCGATAAGTCCTAATTGAAATGGGCCCAGACTATGAGAAAAGATCCCTCTGCTTGGTAGACTCTCACTTACGGCTGCCTTTTTTCTGTCCGCCTTGCAGTTGGTCTCTCCACCCATTAGCGAACAGAGCCAGATCAGCAGCTAAAAGTCGTAATTTCAGACTATATATCACTGATATCTGCATATGTGCACATACATATATCCAACTCACAATTTGCAGCAACAGCAGTACCCACATTGACATTTCAAACCGAACTGAATTCACAATTTGGAGTCGTAACATTTGACAATTAAAATAAATTGAATTAATTTTTATTATTATTCAAATTTTTGAGCCATAAAGCCGTTACACCTTCAGCTCATTAATGTTGACCCCACGTGGAGTTAAATATATTTATTTGTATGCTGACAAAAATGAAATCCAATACCGGGAAACATGGCCGCCTGGCCACAGGACGTCTTGATTAATTACGTTGGCACGCCATCAGATTACGTATACGCCACGTCTGGCAGCCTCAAGGTTGAAGCGCTGCTGACTTTGGGGTTAATAAATTGTTTTGCGTTTGTTAACTAAATTTTGATTGCCCCAGGAGGCGGTGGGCGAAAGCGTCAGCAGTGGGCGTGTCTGCCGAGCAACACTCTCGCTTTTTCTTTTCTTTCTTGATTTATTGATATGCTAATTGAGCATTTGCACGTTGCCCGTTGACTTGACTTGGCATTGGCTCTACACTTAGCTCTTGGCCTGGCTTCGCTTCCCCCCTCTTTTTAATGGCCGAAAGAGTGAGTGTGTGTGTGTGTGTGTGTCCATTGGAAGTTATGAGCCATGGCACGCCATTTGCATGGCGGCGTGTTGTTCAAATTAATTGTAAATGGTTGTAATTTGCTGTTGCCGTTGCCGTTGCCGTCGCCGATGTTCGCTTTTCGCTTTTACAGTTTAATTGCAGCTCCCAGTGAGAGGGCGCGAACTTGGACTTTGGAGCCCAGTAGATGGTAAATGGTGAATGGAGGTGGTACATGGTATCCATGGTGGCGCATCGATGGGCGGGGCGGGGTGGCCTAGGCTTAATTAATTTATGGCCACGGCCAGGAGCGCTTGTTAAATACACGTCATTTGAAGTTTGAGCGTGTTTAACGTGACGTATGAGTGATTTATGTTGATGGAGTGCACATTAAGCGTCTGTGGAGGCAGTTTAACTGCCAAAGAGTCATCAATTGAGTCGATGTGCAGCCCACACCCACTCTCCTGCACTATTGCGTGCACACGATATCCTTGTCATTCTGAGAGGGAAGGAATGGCCAAGGAGTAAACACTCCTGAAAGCAGCTTAGCGGCTCTGCCCTTTTCGGCTATATATATAAGCATCATATAAACGATTTTCCATGTATTTTTAGTGAATTAATGACAAGGCAAATATTTGATGGCACATAGCGTTGGGCTTTCGCTTTTGCTGGCATAATTACTTAAATACAAGTGGCAAAGCATTTCGGTTTGCTGTTCCAGATTCGAACTTCTAATGAAATTATTATGCCCCAATTTTATACACTGCTTCCTCTATGGGTTCCACTTAATGGGGAGCGAGTCATGGCATTTGGAATGAATTTCTGCGTTTAATTTGAATTCGATTTAATTGGATGACCACCGAAATCTATGGAATTACTACCTTTTTTTTTCCGTTCAGTTGACTTTAATCAATGACTAAACTTAGCATTCCACAGAAACTTAGTTTGCTTAAGCTAACTTTTTGCTTTCTTTTATTAACAGAAAAATGTGTCAAAGAATTCCCGTGAATTTAATGGCTTGCTGAGAAGAGCATCCATTCTCCGGCAGCTGTGTTCCCTCAACAACTTCTCCCCCAAGAGTTGGTTAGTTGTGCACGCAATTTAATTATATTTACTGGATTTTTACCCTCTTCACGTCGTTCCTCTGTGTCTGTGTGTGAGCGTCGAAAATTAGTAGGAAATTGTTAATGCGATAACAGAACAGATTTTCCCAGAGAGTGTTGTGTGTACCATGCAAAGCTCTTTTGGCTGGGTTTCCTTGGCAGCCAGGCCTGCCACACCACAAGACAGAAAAAAAAGAGGGAATCGTTGCCTAGCGGAGTGTATGGGTATTTTCATTGTGCCAGAACAGATTTAAGGTAAGTCCAACTTTAGGCAAGAGGAGCGCAAGAGGAGCGTAGCCAGGACATGGTACATAAATCGTTGGCACAGCTCCCGCCCGAGTAGTAGTAGAAAGCTCCAAGAGCTGAACACACGTTAGCAAGTGAGAAATTCCATTGAAAATGCATTTGCGGTGGCTATAAAGAGAAAATGAGGGGTGTACCGGGGCAGGGGCACTGGAGGAAAACGCTTTTGGTTTGGTTTCGGTTGGCAGCTAAATTAAAGACGCAACTCACGTGGTTACTGGCCAACAGCGAGGAAGATGGGCTAAGAGGAAACCAGTGGCTGTCGCTTTTTCTCCGCACATAAATCAGTTTTAAATGCGTATAAATAAATTGGCCAAAAGGTGTCAGAGGAGAGAGCCAGTAGGGGGTAAGTGGTAGTGGTAGTGGTGGTGCCAGTGCTGGGGGGAAGTGCAGTCTTCGAGGCTAGGTCACGGTCTGCACCGCACAGAGCGCACAAAACCCAACTCCCAGCTTAATCCAAACACTTCGTTTTGACAATTTATGCGCGCTGCTTGCCAGGAGGGGATCGACTTTGCTGGAAAAAGGGGATTGTGAAAGAGGGGGCAGAAAGGGTGTCTGTGGAAAGTGGCAAGGACGAGCGCATGTGTCGTCATGTTTGTCTTGTATACTTGGTTATTTATTTAAGCCTTGGCTAGGGTTCTCCCACATCCCCATACCATAGCCCCCATACCCTGTCCCCTGTTACCATCCACGACGCATCCACTTGGTTGCGTTTAATCAAAGGGATTCTCGTTGCAAAATTAAACTAATTTAATTTTTATCGTTGTACAATATTTGCCTACTTCTACTCTCGCTTCCTCTGCCCTTATCCATCTACCCAACGGAAAGCGCGCCTTATTGAAATTTCATAGTCTAATTTTGAGCGCAAATTAAAATTTAATTACGCGCCTTTTTGGCGCGCCGCGCGCTAGCTTCGGTTTCCGTTTCCTGTTCCCCTTCCCCTTCCACTTCCAATTCCCGCTCTCATTTCTGGGTTCTCGTTTTTGCAGGTCGATTGGCTTAATTGGAAATACTCTCACTCCACCCAACCCCCCTCTCTCGCCATGTAACGCGCGCGTGTGTGTGTGTGTGTATGTTTGGTACTTTGATGCCTTTGACAACATTTATGTTTTGGGTCCCGGGATGCCTCATTAATTTTTAACTCTTTGCCATGGGCAAAACATTTATCTACCCTCACGGGTAACAAAAATTAAGTCATTCCACAGCATTTTGGCGCCACTTGACAACCCTTTACTATGTTTCCATGAGGATATGAAACAAATACAGCAGCACAAAATGCTGAACTTTAATTTGCAACCAAAACCAGAATATAGCACACGGAAAAATAACAAATTTTCCCGCCACAGTCGAGTGTAGAGAGTATATATGCCAAATGGAAAGTTTTTCCAGATGTTTTTGGTTGCATTTCAAATTTTTTGTTGTTTTCAGTTTAGTGTTAGAGCGGTGCAAGAAGCCTCCGCAGGGGGAAGGTGGGACGGACGACTGGGGTTGTTGCAGGGTCACACATGAAGAACTTTGAAATTAAAATGATTTTCAGTTGGCTGCCAGAGGAAGCGCAACAAAATTTTTCATTTTATGCCAAATTAATTGTCTACCCAAATGCAACAAAATTGAGTGGAATGTGCTTGGTACTTTGCCTTGCTGTGTAAAACTCTTACCATCCCTTTCTGTATGATACTTGCTATCTCTTTCTGTGTGGCTTTACTTCTGCCTGTCTGTTGCTTGTATAGTCTCATTAGCCTGCATTGCTTTTAATCAACGTTTTATTGAATTAAACAAATTTGTTTCTAATTTGGGGCACAGAAACCGTCTCCACTGCACACACAGACATGCCACATGCTCCATGCCGCATGGCCCCTGCCCCATGCCCTATGCGGTGCTCCTATCCCTTAGTTGGGGTCTCTATTTGGGCAGTGGATCATATTTGCCAGCAGTGACAGAGCCAACATTTGGGTATTTACATGGATGGAGGATACAGAAAGGTACTGCCCCTGGCCCTGGGAGATGGTGGGGCTAGGAGCTGGGCTCTGCCAGGAGTCTGTGTAGCAAACAGACAGAAACGAACTTCATCAGCAAATTAAATCTTTGCTCTGTCCAAGAGTGTGCTTCCCGCCATCCCCATCAGCAATCCCGATCCCCATGAAGAGTGCCACATAGTCGCGTATGTTTTGTTCTGTTCTGTGCTGTAATTTGGTGACAGTTGCATTATTTTCCCGATGAAATTCCATTGCAGCCACGTCACTCATAATTATGTCCCAATGCCACTTTATTAAATAAAGAAAAAAACACAACAAACAAAAAAAAACGCGAGAGAATTATATGTATGTGATGCGAGCGGAAGTGAAAAAAGAAAAGTTATCAGCATTGAAACTAATGAATTTCCATACAATTTTTCCGCTTTTCCGGCAGCAGCAGCAATCTATCAGGCATTTCCCACCACTGCACCGGGAAAACAACGCCACTCCGCTGGCATTGCAATGCATTGTCCGCTCGCATCTAGTATGTTGACATTGACAAGTTGGCAGGCGAATCGAAATGTAATCAATATCCAATATTTGCATATGCACCCCAAAGACCAGACCACCGTCTATGTAGTATGGGAGAGGGGGAAGGAAATTGAAATGCAGCTGCAACATAAAATAGTTGTCAATTTTGGCTGGAATTGACAACAAAACAAATTGAAAAGAAGTGGGGGCCCCCACCCGCACTATAAGGGAACAACCATTCGGTTGATCGGTGAGGGAATACCATAGATAATACGTACCCATATGCATCAGTTTTCCCCTCCCAACCCGCTTATAATTGTAATCAGTGTTTGCAATCATTTGCGTCATTTGCCGATGGAAATGCACACGCGGCCTGAAAGTATGCAACGGTTTTCATGCAACACTTCCTGCGAAACTGAGTATTCGTGCAACTCAATTGTGCTTGCCGCTGCCGCGATGACCCCACCGCTCCGCCCATCGCTCTGTGACCTTACAGGCCCCCTCAACATGTGCCGGAATCTGTGAGGAGAAGTTGGGGTGAGGTATAAAAAAAGAAAACACACAACGCCGCGTACTATGAAACAGCTTCAACATAAAATTTTACGAGTCGT